GAAAGGAGACTAATTTAGACAAGAAAATTTTTCGGTCACTACTTGGATTCAAACCCCAGACCTTTGAATGAGAGGCCAACACCTTAACCTCTAGGCCACGAGAGCCCCCCAAGAAAACTTTAAATAAAAGTAAATTTGAACTCCTCATTCGGAGCTGACTTGACCTAGCCTGTGCGCAGATCTTGATTCACCGTATGGGTTAAAGTGGCGTTGTCTCTATTTCTATTTTTTTTTTAGTAAGAATTTTACGGCACTTGTAATACAATAAGGTCGTATATGTGCCAAAGATGAGGGGTGTTTCGACAGAGTAACAAACACAAAACAGAAAGAGGGGAGATAACGACGATAGATGTTTGATAAGAAAGAAGGAGCAAACCACACCAGAGCACCCGCCAACCACCCACTCACTATTTCTAACAGGAAATGGAAACCGTTGGCCGACAGTGACTGTCGATAGGCAAAAAGATACGTGGGGGTGGGTGAGGGAGGGGGTTGGGTGGGAGGAGGGGGCGGGGTTAAATTTTTACTTGTAATGAACTTTCAAATAAAAACTATAATATTACAAATTCATAAATTTACCTCATTTGGCATGTTTCGATAGGCATGTGCTACTACTGAGAGGCAGGACTTTTGTTTACAGCTGTTTTCTGAATTGATTCCTGTAGACTGGGATGCACATGCGTAAACTCCTTGTTTATGGTTTTCGGTGAGTTTCAATTTTGTGCGAATTGGTGCAATAGCATTTTGGGATAATACAGATTCACTGTCATGTTTTGGGGTTGTTTTCCGGGTTTATGAAACTCCATAAGGAGGAGTCGGTAGCCTAGTAGCTAGCGACTCCGTAATCGTGAGATTAGGGGCTCGGGGTTCGAGCCTCAGCTCGGTCCAACTTTTTATCCTTGAGAAAGGCGTTACACGAATTTCCTATTTGGGGTGTTCCTTTCGGAGTTGGATGTTTAACTTGGAGATCCTGCCTCTTATGTAAAGTAACAGTGTTGATTGGATCGCTGAACCTATACAATTTCACATTTCACAAGGTCCACAATTCATCATGTTGCTTTATCGATTTTACTATTAGTACGTTAGTTGAACCAATTCAAGCAGTATTTTAACAGATCGACTTTCTTCATGGTAAACGATGCGCATGGGCATCTCTATAAACCTCATTGCTAAAAGAAAGTTATTACAAATGCTACAATTACAGTCAAACCTCTTTGCACC